GGAGGTGGTTCTGCAGGGCTTGCCCTGTTTTGCAGAAAAATGGTGTTTTGGAGTATGAGGGTGCTTTAGGGGTGAAAGGCTCATGCTTCTGAATTGTGAGGATATGAAAAACTTGTTTGACAACTTTGTTTTAGTTGGTTTTATCAGATATGAGAGATACAAGCTTTTGGCTCTTTGACTTGTTTTGAAAGCAAAGTTAGAAGTGAAGTGTGATAGGCCTGTACAGGCTATCTCCAAGCATGCACCAACTCCTTGTACTCTGCCTGAGATTGTGGAGCTTGTTTGCTGCAAAGGAAGAAAGTCCAAGGCTCAAGAAAAAGCAATTTGACATAAAGTCCCCTTTATGAAAATGGAAGTGTGGCATTTATGCTTAAAATGGCAATGTTCATTGTACAAAGCTCTCTTGATCAGAACAATGCCAATATCCAATGTATTTGCATTCAATTTTGGAGTGTTAATTGGTTTAGAGGCCTGTAATCATGTACTAAGCTATCTTGGTCAGATTTGCAACTTGGTATGAACATGTATTGGCCATGGATCAAAGTGAGTTTTTGCCAACTTCAAGCATTCGATTCTCCCGAAACACAAAGGTGTTTGAGGAGTTCTTGGACAATTTGGAAAGCTTGCAACATGTACTATAATACATATTTGAAATGCAACTTGAAACTCCAACTGTAACTATGTGAAAAATGGCCAACAAGATGGGTCAAAATCCTGCCTAAACTAGGGCAAAATTTCTCTAAGTTAAAAGTTTTAGGTACCCTTGTTCCAAAAATCATAACTTGAGATACAAGCTTATTTTGAGAAAACTTTGTGAATAAAAGTTGTAGAATTTGTGATGGACTACAACTTTTATGTTACAATTTTTGTTTTAATCCATTTGTATCTTGGTGAAAAAGTGGGACAAAGTTAGGAAAAAATGAGAAAATTTTATAACTTAGAAAATTTCTAAGTTATGAAAATTTTCCATTTTAAACCCTAATTTGCATTTTTGGGTTTCTTGATGAACAAATTTCATAATTTGACATGTCTTGTTGATAAATGACCTTTGGCACTTGATTTTTACCAAAAAGTCAAAGTTTGACTTTTCAGTATATAGTTAAATTTTGATCAGTTGGCTGAAAAATTCATCTGTCAATCCTATGCATTTGAGATCTTTTGAACTTGTTGAATGGGTCAAGACAATGTCATTGAGTCCTTGAGTCCATGGTTGAGCTTTATTTTCCATTGGCTAGGTCAAACAGTCAAAAATTGCCTTTTGTACAGTCAAAACCCTAAAAATGACCATTTTGCCCTTTTGATGATCTGATCAAATTTCTTGTGGAATTATGATCCAAACTTGGTCAAATGGTTCATATAAGTTCATAATGTTGATGTGGGTCAAATTTCATGAGGTTTGACTGTCAATTGACCACAGTTGACTTTTTCCCCAATACAGTTGATTTCTAGGTCAACTGTCAAATTGACTGGGCAAAAATTTGAATCAAGGCTTGAAACTTGGTATGGAAAAACTTGTGAGTCCAACATGAAGTATGAAAGTCAATTTGGGAATTGTAGGTCAAAACATCACTGTGCAAACTCAAACCCTAATTTAGGTCAACAGTGCAAGGAGATGTCTTGAGCAGAGCAAACCCTAGCTTGGTCTTGAGTTCCAAGAGCCTGGTGATGGAAAATGTTGATAAAATGAGAAGGCAAATTTTGGGGTACAACACTCCTCTTTTCACTTCTCTTTGTTTCTTCTCTTTTCCCCAAATGTTACGATAACTTCCTTTTTAACTCTCACTATCCATATTTCTATTATATAATTCAATTATTATTATTATCTACTTAATCAAAAAAATTAATAACAAATATAATAAAAAAATACTAATTATAAAATCTAAATAATATTTTTATATTATTTAAATAAATAATTAGTAACTAATATTACTGATTAGTTACTCAGAACATCACCCATCTCTACATTATTGCTCACACACTCCCAAAATCTTAATTTCTATATTTCTAAGGCAATTACTCCACACCAAGGACATCACAATACATAAAAATACCTATCAACACATGTAAATTCACAATATCACATGATTAAATTATGAAAAATAATTTATATAAAATCGGGGCCTTACATCACTAATTGTACTAGACCTAACATTGCATATGTCATAGGATTGTTGTGGAGGTTTACAAGTAGACAGAGTAATGAGTATTGAAAATCTATTGTGCGATTCATGTGGTACCTTAAAAGGACCATGAATCTCATTTTACATTATCAGAGATTTCTCGTTCTACTTGAAGGATACAATGATGAAGATTGCAATACCTTATCAGATGATTCCAAAGCAACTAGTGATTATATATTTAGTATAGTTTGAGGAGTTGTATCTTGGAAATCAAAGAAACAACTATCTTGGTTCAATCTAGGATGGATTGTAAGATTATAGCATTAGCAACTGCTAGTGAAGAAGTAAGTTGGTTAAGTTGATTGCTAACTGAGATCTCTTTATGGAAAAACCTATATCGGTTGTGTTGATCCATTGCGATAGTACCTCTACTATTGCAAAAATTGAGAATCATTATTATAATGGTAAAAGACGTCAAATTAGAAGAAAGAAAAACAGAGTTAGAGTTTGTATCTTTAAAGGGGCTGTAAGATGGATTGTGTACGCACTGGTGAAAGTTTAGTAGATCCTTTGACGAAAGGATTAGTTAGAGAAAATTTTTGTAATACCTCTAAGAATATGGAACTAATGGCTATAAATAAATGAGTTGCTCATTATGATATCCCGACCTAATAGATTGGAAATCCCAAGAAATAAGTGCAATGGGTAATAACAAGTTGTGAGTAATATGAGGTGATCATGCTAGTATAAATAAGAGAAGTATGAATCTTGAAACGAAAAGAGGATGAGATAATAGAAACTCTTAATTAGATTTATACTCTTTATGAGGTTACCTAGCTACAGGAGTACTCTTGATAGACATATCCGTGTGATTGTGGAACTTAGGCCAGCTCTTATGAAATTTCTAGACAGACTTCCTAGAGTCTTCACTAAACTGGAATACACGTGCAAGTCCATTAAAGCGTGGACTTTTAGAATACACCTTAAGAAAAGGTTGCATGCGGATTTGATGTCTTAAATAGAGTTCAAGACAATTGTGTCATTCTTGTTGAATTGGAATCCTACTTGCTACCAAAAAGTTCAAGTCGTAGACACCTATGTTTAAACACAATTAGAAACATTTGACGTTACTTCTGAAACACTTTTTTAAATTTATGTCGGATCATTGGAACATGTCAATATATCAATATGGAGATGAATTTGAAAAAGTTCCTCTAAGTCTCACATTTTTTATTAAAAATAAGTGTGTTTGTGCGTTAGTTGAAGAGATACCTTAGTTCCACATTGCTTATATTAGATATCTTGGCTAGCTTGCATCGTTATATAAGGAAATCACTTGTTTCATTCCAAAATACACCAAAAACTTCTATTGAGTTTTTTCTTCCTCACTCTCATAACTTTGTATCTTTCGAATTGTCGAAGTGTCAATTTCTCTCGTTTTCTTTCTACTCGTTGAATTTTTCAAGTATTTTTTTGAATTCTCTTTAGATAATTGTTTTAATTTCTCCTCGTTAGAATTGAGAAATTATAAAGTATTATTTCTGGATTCTCTTTGGAGAATTATTTTAATTCTTTTGTTTGAGAAATCGTTTTGAGTGGTCAAATGATCATTATTGAATTCTCTTTGGAGAATTATTTGATTTTTTTTTGTTTGAAAAATTATTACGATTCGTCTTTATATCAGATACTACGAGTGGTATTTATACCATATTCAAATGATCTTTGTACCATCATAATGTATATTTCTAAACCAATTATTTATCGTGCAATTAGTAATTCTAGAGTATTGAACTAGGCTGTTTTATCTTGTAGGCGTCATGGTTGAGTAACTGCTTTGCAGAATTTTGAGCAGTGTCGTGAAACGTTTTAAAGAAAGCGACCTCGTCCGCAATTCGATTCGATAATCTTTTCGATGCAAATTTTCAAAACTATAAAACAACATATGAACATATTATGTGGGTCTAATTATCATGTAATCCTAGCTGGGCAGATTTTAGGGTAGTGGTATGCTAATTTGTAATAGGCTTGCTTAAGAGGGTCTAAGTGTGATGATGTAAAGAGTTTATTGTTTTGGTCTAGCTTTCAAGAAAATGACTGGGTGAGCCTAAGAGTATGTTTGGTAAAAATAATGGTTGATTTATAAGTTAATTGATAGTTTATAGTTGATGGTTGATGATTGATAATTTATAATTTATAACTGATAGTTGAGACTGATAGCTAATAAACTAATCGGAGTGTTTAATAAAACTAACGGTTCAACTAATTTATAAATACAAATTGATTTAAAGATATTTAATATATAATTATTTTATTTTAAATTAAAATAAATTATAGAGGATAAAAATGGACTTTTGTTAAAATAATAAAAATAAAAAAGGAAGAAAAATAATAAATTTTAACCTATAAATTTAAATACTATTTAAAATAGTGTTTGAAAAATAAGATTAACAAAATAAATTATAAACTTGTGAACAAAAGACGTTATCAAACAAATATAAAATATTATGAGCTTATAAACTATAAATTATAAGACATAAATTGATAAATCGGTGTTAGCAAAGAGACCCTAAGCAACCATTCATAGAAGGTGGATAGTTAATCTTCACTATGATGCTACACTCAGACTCTTCTTTTGTATCGGGTTGGAGTCACCATTATACTCTCATTACTAAACTTTACTTAAAAAAAACAAAAAAGAACAGGTGTAAAGTCCCTTTAATATGATGTTTTGATATATTTGGAAGCATATATTCGTATTATATAGCACTCCTGCCTTACAAATTGCCTATAAAAGGGAAATCCAAGATCACAACAAATTCACCATTCAAACAGCTATCATCAAAACTTGTGTGAATTGATACTTTCCCTTCCTCCAACAAGATGCAAAACAGGAAGATCAATGGATATCCACAACAGCAATACTATGATGATGATAGCACATGGATGGAAACTAAGGCTCAACAGCTACAGAGCCATGGATATCCACAGACACAGCAATATCCAGGCATAAAACCAGGTTATGGCAATGATTCTGATTACTCTATGCCAAACCATCATGGCTATGAGTCTAACAACAATATGTGTCATCGTCAGGACAGCAAGCCTCACGGCCTTGACTCTAACCATGATGTGTATCATCGTCAGGACAGCAAGCCTCATGGCCTTGACTCTAACCATGATGTGTATCATCGTCAGGATAAGGTTCCTCATGGACAGGGAAATGGTTATGGCTATGATAACAATCATGGCCATGGCAATGGCAATGGCCAGATATTTCCGTTTGCTGCTACCGCTAATCACTCACCTCATCATGGTAATGGTGTAAGGCCATTCAATCATGGTGGTCGTGGCCAAAATAACTACGTGTCAGAGAATGAGTATGAAGTTTACAAGGAGGAGCGTGTTGGTCCTGGCGTGACGAGGAGGGATGAAGTAAGATATGATGAGAGGCGTGGAACATATGGAGGAGATGTTCATCAGGCCAGCCCATATGGATACAACAATAACAGGAATAATCCTCTTGGTCATGGAACAAACAAAGCCAATTGGACACTGAAAGGAGTTTAATATGCTTGATTACCCGTTATTACTACATATACCTACCGTACTAATAAATTGTGTGCTTTGTTTTCTGTTTTCTTGTTGTAATAAGTTGCCATGAGTATGCATGGCGCTTCATATATGTGATCGATGTTATCTGTAACTCATTATGAAGTTATAATAAGAGTTAAATTAGACTAAACACAACCACTTATCATTTATATGCACGCATCAAAATCAAATATTAAATACTATTATAAATGCAAGAGTGTGCTAAAAAAAACCTTAGTTTCATATATTGTTAAAATAAGGCTCGACAGAGGCATATCTCATTTTACAAACAGGTTTTTCTAAGAATAAGTTACACAAAATATAAAAACATAATATGGTATAAGAATTAAGAATCAAGAATGAGTTGTTTGATTTCAAATCAATGGCTGACTAAAATCATAGGAAAATTCTACAGTAGCAAATCTGAGTTTCACTATACAACTATTGTTGATGTAGTAGTCTCTACAACACCTGCAATATTGTTGATGTAATAGTCTCTACAACTGCATCTGCATCGTACTGCAATTGTGGTGTGATTTTATATCACATGTCCTTTTACATTAAGAATTGCATTAGACAATTTCGCCAAAATTTCTTCAATCATTTTCATCAAAACTCAAATATTAGAACTCCAAACCTTAACTTTCTTTTGAAAAATCTTAACATTAAGTGTTTTTTAAGGGAATATTTCAAATTCTTCTCAATTAAAATTCTCGTTGCAATAGCCACAACGTCCATCGCAACAACAACAATAATTACAATCACAATACCCAAAACTGCAACCACAAGTGTAATTTAAAAGTATGATACATACTAAGGAAATGATTAATGACAAAATATGACCCACAAATGAGCACAAATTTTGTATTCTCTACAACAACAATAAAACAGAATCAATCATTATCATAGACCATCACCAAAAATGCTAAACGAATAAAATAGCATAATGGTGGTAGTGTTAGATTCGTTTTCAAAACCATACTATCTCCGAATCTTCTCCTGATTAAATCATCTTAAAGTTTATGGTAAAGTATCAGATTCACCACCATATCATTACCGAATATATAAGTTGAAAAACACACGGAACATATATCCACCATAGAAAAAGCATAACACGATGATAATAAAAATGAATAAATACAAGATGAAGAGTTAGTAAGCAGTAACACTACAAATGGAAAACCAAAACATTGTATATCGTGGATGGTGTCCTTCAAACTCTTACGAATATGAAGTCCATGAAGTAACCGAGCCTATGCTTCGCAAGCGCAACGAACGTCCTAGAAATCATAAGAAGGGTCATGTTGCATTCAAAACTGTGCTAGAGGAGCCTATAACACCAGTAGAAGAAGAAACTGCGACTATTACTGAACCTGAAAGTGTGAATTCTTTTCGGAGTATTGATAGTAAAGCTGATGCGTTTATTAAGATGGAGCACAGGAGGCTTGAATTTGCCAGACTCAGGTCTTTGGGGCTTGCCTGATTTCATATCATCTATTTGTAGCTAGCTGTTAGCTACAAGGGCCTTCATGTTGAGGTTTATCATTTATATACATAACAAAAATATGAAATAATTTCAACCTTATGTATTCCTCTGAAACCATCATGTATTTCATCTAAATAATACATCAACTTCTTACTTTTGTATTGTGTTTTGAATAATTTGTTATATTTTCTACTAGTTAACTACTAGTTATTAGTTTTTTTCAAAGGAAAGTATTCGTAGTAATTTTTAAGGATCTCTAAGGATCTCACTTAAGTCCTAGATTGATTATTAAGTTTATTTTTTGAAGTGGTCAAATTTATTGTAAACAAATTAAATCGCGCAATGAGACATTAGTTTGAGATAGTTTGTGTCATGTTATTGTAACTTATAGTTCGAGAAAGTTAATATGGTTAACCCTTCAAGAATAGAATTGTCAATCAAAGTAATAATTAAAAGAGTAATGATATTTTGACACTCGATTTTATACCTACACCTTATTTACTGTTCACAAATAAATACAGTGAATAATAACTTTTTTATTTTGATTTTTTTATAATTTTTATTCTAAAACAACTTTGGTTAATAATATATAAAAAACTTAGTTAATACAGTTCAAAATTTTGTTAATATATATTCTAACAAAAAATTTAATATATACCATACATATTTTGGTTAATATTACCTACAAAGTAGTTAATACAATTTATAATTTGGTTAATGAGTTTTCAAACATAAGAAATATTAAATAGTAAAATAAAATTATTTAATGAAGTCTAAAAGTTAGTTAATAAATTTATAAATTAGTGTCAAAATATGATTAATAGTATATATTTTATTGATTAATAAAATAGTGAAATTGATTAATAAATTATAAATAAAATAATTAGTTAATAACATACATTTTTGTGGTTAATATAATTTTGAAGTTGATTAATAACACAAATTTATATTTATTTGTGTTATAAAATAAAATTTAAAAATAATTTTTTTTTTATAAATATTATTATTTTATTAAAAGACATTGTTTCACTATATAAATATAACAAATAATATATACAATGTAAGGTATAAATATAAATGTGGTGTCAAAATAGCATCGCTCTAATTAAAATAACAATAAATCATTCAAATGAAGATGAACAAAGGTTGAGATGGCTAAAGAGAATTAAGTTCTAATGTTGATTTACTTTCAAATCATGTTATTAGTCATACAATTCGGTCTTGTAAGAGTTTCTCATGTCCGAAAAAACCAAATGCTAACTTGTCTTCTTATGGACTACCCCGAGCTCTGTTCCTCCGTAATGAGTTACTACAATGCACCTTTAATTACCACAAATTTTTCAGTCTCATATGCAAGTCAAAATTTTGGAATTCGAGTAAATCCTATATGAATAAGCAAAATAATAGATTTGTTCATAATTGTATGAAAAATGTTATATTGTATTATTTACTAATAACGCCGCTCTACACTCCTTTAGGAAATATAGGGATGATAGTAATTATGAAATTATGAAATTATGAACATGATATCCCACCAAATGACAAATGTATGTAATCCTATAATAAATAGTCTATAACAATATACCAAACACTAGCCATATAAATAGGTAATCTGTCTTGAAAAATGATGAAGTCATTCGTCGGTGGGAATCGTCATATTTGGCATATTATATTTGTCGGGCGTCGCCTGTCTTGGCCTTTAGTTCTGCTGGGAGAGTAAATGTCTTCTTACTCGACTGTCTTTGAAGATAGCGAGAGCGGTACGTAGAAGAGCTTCAAGAGGCGTCCAAACTACTTACATGCATATGAGCTAGTGTAAAACATTCCAAGCAACCTGACGCGCTACTTAATAAGGTGAAGTTGAGGGAAAAACTGAAGTTCAAACTCTTGCTCAGGCATTACTGACCAAGTCTAAAGTCGATATTGCTAAAGCAAACAAAGCACTGAATTCTTTATGTATGACGGTCGAAGAATTGAAGGATTCTTTGAAAGAGGCTCGAGAAGGCTAGAAGAAGATTGAAGATGACCTTCGGGAGATGCGGCTTGAAAATCTATTTATCTAAGGAATATGAAAAAACAGTGGAAGAATGTTTTTATGTCGGGCATGTATCCTTCGAGAATGCCTTGTAGCGGTTGGAATATTTTTTACCCCAGTTACATATTGCACAAGAGAAATTTTGTCCTGGCTAGAAAATGGTGAATAGGGAGTCGGTCTCTATTATGGATGAGTTATATATGTAATGATTCTCTTTAGGGTTAATAATCAGTTCGCTCCCTTCCATTTGGGCGAGTTTTTTATTAAAAAAAACCTGTTAAAAAAATTTAGATTCCCCTCTACCATTTGCAGATTCTCTTGTTTTAGTCCCTCATGATACCCAATCATCAAAATCTTTGACATGACATGGATTATGTGGCATTTTTTTAATTTTCATATTTTTTAAATGTCATATAGATTTTCTATTTTTATTTCAATTTATTTTTAATAAATTTAGAATTTCTTCATATTCTATCTCATATTCACATATGGGTCAGCCAATTAAAAATCACCATAAACTCTCAATTGCATTCCACATTCTTCATCTTCCTAGTTTAGATTCAAAGGAAAATGGTACTTGTAAATCACTAAATACTCGTGATTCACAATAGGGAAAACAAAATAACCGTCATAAAATTCACCTATTATTATTATTCGATTTCAAATTAAAAAAAAAACATATATAAAAAAGATAGATCTACAATCTTCAACATAAAACTGCAATAATCCACATCCACACTGAGTGCATTCAAGGAAATTCTCCTCCCCAAAAATAGTAGAAGTAATACAAACAGAAAAATCAATATCATCGTCGTCACAAGAAACCTCAATAGTACCCAGCCACAAAATCACAATTTTGATGAAAATACCCTTGAGTTTATAAAGCTTATTCTTCAAAACCACACCAGGCCTAGTTTTAACAGTTATGGTGCGCTGGAATCTGTAAGGCTTCTTGAGAGATTGTTTGAGCAGACACACAAGTTGGAGGACTGGGAGGCAAGAGAGGAACCGTATCTTCGTGAAATTGAAGCAGCTCACAAGAAATATAAAAGGCTTGAAGAGAAGATGAAGGAGACAACAATAAGAAGAGTGACGGAGTTGCTTATTTATGTTGATTTTGAACTTAGAAATAAAGTTCAGCTTCTGAGTGAAGCAAACGAGGTTATGAATCTGAAGGAGATGAACTGCCTGTTAATGTGGAAGAGAGAGAATTTGAAAGAGAACATTTGGAAATTAGGGTGTTGTAAATAAAATATATTTTTAAATGATTTTAAGAATTATTTTGAAAGATGAAGAAGATGAAGAAAATTCATATAGCATTTATAAAAAATATACCAAATAAAAAACTAAAGCCACGTCATTTAAAAATATAAAAATTAAAAAAAGCCACATAATCTATGCCACGTCAAAGATTTTGATGATTGGGTGTCATGAAGGACTAAAACAAGAGAATCTATAAATGGTAGGGGAAATCTATTTTTTTTAGAGGGCTTTTTTAAAACTAGCCCAAATAGGAGGGGCGAACCGGGAGAAACTTCAATGTATAAGCAAGTTTTATGGTTATTGCTTGGCAATGTGTATTTCAACCTCTATTCCTTACCATTATTTTTACTTGTTTTTATGGCATTGCTTCAAGCCCCAAGTTCATTTCTATGGGAGATATCTTGTTCTTCTAGGTCTTGCTCAAAGTTTAGTTAGACGTCTCTGGGAATCATGCTTATCCAATGGTCGATACCCCTTTCATGCACCCAAGTGAGAATCTGGTTCGAGGCCGAGGTAATGAGGACTAACCTCCATCTTTAGGGTGGCTAGCTACCAATAAAGAGTGAATACTTAATTGCAACTTTGAGGTTTGTTGTCCTTGCATGTGCGTTGTCCTTGCGAGGCTTTGATTGTTTTAATCGTATGCCAAAGGCGTTTATGACAACACCATGAATCATTTTTTATGTGCTTTGATTGCTTTGTTCACACGTTAGCGATGTCTGTGACAACACCCCCTAACTCGTTGCAGCCTTTTATGATCACAATGAAGAGAGTTTTATGAATAATTATTTGTTCTTTGCTGGGAAAAAATCATATATCAAGGTAGCATATTCCTTTTAAATATACAGTAAAGTAAATTAACCAATAAGCATAGTCGATGCTTATTGGTTTTGGTGAGGTAGGTGATGGCCAACTCCAGCTTTGTCTGGAGTCTTTTTCTACAGTTGTTTGGTCAGAATAATTTGCTTTAGATGTTAGAAACTTACTTTCCATGTCTCTTAACTTCACAATTAGAGAGTCTACATTAATTTCCATAGCCTTTTCTTTTGGTCAGGCTGTAGAGCCTTGTATAATCTTTTTCCCCATACAAGTCGACACATATTGTCACCAGCTAATCATGGACGTTGTAATACTTCGGCTTGAGATGGATTTTAGGGAGCCATTGTATCTAGAGTTGGTGCAAAAGGCGTGTCCAAAATACAGTTGTAGGCACTTTTGCAAGAAACCACTAAAAATTGCAGGTTCGTCGTCCTGGTATCTCTTTCTTCTCCTAGGGTGACCATAAGTTCGATTTATCCTGAGGGGAAGCTTACTATGTCATTGAAAACTTGCAAGTCGAACTCTTCATATGGTCACAACTTTTCTCTCTTTAACCATAGGTTTTCATACACATTTGCGTACATGATATTACAAGATCTTGTCTTATTAATAAGGATCTTGGAGACCTCAAAATTGACAATGGTTGTCCTCATAACCATAGAAAAGATCTCATTTGAAATTCCACCTACTTTTTAACTACCCAGAATCCAAGGATAGGTCTTTCTGCTTCCTTGGTCAACACCTTCATCTCTTCTTTAATCACGGTCATGAGCTCGAAGATTTCACTTTTGAATGTTCCCTTAGAGGGTTTTCCCTTTGAATGACGTAAGTAATAAATTCAATCAATTGGTGTTTTCCCTTCCGACATTCCTTATCTTTA